AACTCACGACCTTGCGCTTGCCAGGCAGGCGCTTTGCCGCTGAGCTAAATCCCCAGCCCCTCTCACGGTTTGTTCATGGGCATGTGAATTAATGAAGGCTCTTTAGAAGGAATAGCTACAGAAATTCTTCTAAAATATGTGCTCCACCACCATAACATATACATAAATGTTCACTGCACTAGAATTTTTAATTATAAAAAAGATGCAATCTAAATGAGAGATAGTTAAATAAATTAACGAAATACTAAAAGATTGTTGAAAATTACACATACATTCGTAGAGAAAGGGCACCAAGATAGAAGGGCACTTGATAAAAGGGTACTTGACAAAAAGCAAGAGTAAATGCATTTTGGATTGTTAAATGAATTGGGGAAAGGAATGTGTGTGAAGTGTGTGTGTGTGTGTGTGTGTGTGACAAATCAACTGAGAATACTTCTTGATAGTATGCATCAGAAAATATATTAAGTGCTTACTTTTGGAGACAAAGTTTGGGTAAAGTTTTTAATTTTGATCTTACACTATTCTACACTTGCATTTTCATGCCATGTATGTCATGTACATGTGTGTTTAGCAGGCTTTTGGACATTTTTACTTTCTTCTTCATTGTATTAATTATACATACATGTATTACACATACATATAGATAAATATTTAAGCAATGCTTCCTGAAAGAAAAAAGTGTACAGTCCAGAAGGGAAGTTATAGATAGAGCCTGTAATACAAAGCACAAGCTTCAGAGCTGACAGAATTGGGTTTGCCCCCTAGCCAGTCCCCCATTCTAGTTTTATCAGGCTGGCAAAAATATTTGAACTCTCTGAAACTCAGTTTCCCTGTATGAAACTGGGAACAATAACCTACCTTATAAAGCTATTATGAGAGTTAAATTATGAAATAAATAATGCATAATAATAATGCATAATAAATAATGCATAAAGCTGAATACAGCTTGCAACATGGCAAAACCTCATTATGTTATATTTATAGTTATTGTTTCTCTATTATTATCATCATTATTATTACTGCAGTCATATAGCTAAGACCTTTAAACCTTTTTCTTCATTACATGTACTATTTCAAGGTGATTTAGTCACCTGCCTTATTTCAGGCCTAGTTTTAGGGGAAGGAAATGTGAGAGTGTGTTCCTAGTATGGTCTAGCTGTTGCAGTCAAAAGGCTTAGATTGTTGGAAGTGTAACCCATGTATGCTGAAGCAGTGATTTCATTTGAAACATATTCTCCATCTACCATCCATGGCCATAAATGTAAGACTATGTCTTGGAGCTCTTAGCTGAGACATGACTGCTGAACCATACCTCAGAATTTAGTTCTCTCACTTATATAAAAAGTTCTTGGACTCCAGAATCTCTGGTGTTCAGCTTAGTATCCTTCAATGACCATGGTAGAGTGCGTCTCTTGAACAGACTTTTCTACAGTTTGCAAAAGTTAAAGTGCACTCCTGAACTAAAACCATTTCTTGACTCTGAAAAGAAATTGTTCCTGGAAGTGCTTCAGGGGAGAGATTTGGAGGAGCAGCTTTCCATTTTGCCTTGAATTGCAGACTCACATTAAAAAACATTAAGGATAATAAACTGGAAATTCAATTACCAGGCTTGAAGCCAGAACACCGCACACTCGATTTGGATTTGCATCTTAACTTATAGCTTGCTCTTGCCAATATTACTTACAATTCAGACCTTTGCTCATGGTATAAAAAGCACTTAGTGCACAGATGATTTCTCACCAAGTGCTTTTTGATGGACCTGCCCAAATGTCGATTTGGGTATGAGTTTAAATTAGGAGGAAATGTAAAATATTTCTTCTCTTTATTTTTATGTTTTTATTTTTGCACTTTGGAACCCACAGAACTATGTGACATGGATTTCAAATTTCTATCCAATGCTGAATGTCTCCTCTGGGATACTGATCAAGGTTACTATTGGGGTTACAATATAATTTACAGACTCTCATGTTGAGATGTTAATGATCTGTCCTTAGGAAGATGATCCTAATATGGGGATTAGGGAAAGACTAAGAAGATGCGTTATACCTTGCCAGGTAAGCAAATGTAAGAGTGCAGATTTTTGGCTTGTTTTGATTTCTTAAAAATAATCCATGTATTTAGACATAGGTTTCCATGAATCTTGATAAATAACCCTCAAGGTAGATATCAGTTCTTGCAGAGTAGCATGCCTTAGACGTGAAGGTCACAGCCAGTACTGTAGGTATGAGTTCATTTACCAACTGTGTGAATATAAAAAAAATGCCTACCTTTGTTGTGGCTCAATTCCCTCATCTGTAAAATTGGTATAAAGATGAGAGAACCTATCTTACCAGGCTGGGCAGTGACTAAGGGAGTTAGTAATGTGTGTAAAGCTCTTAGATTAGTGCTTGGCAATAGCAAATACGCAGTCAATGTTAATTTTTATTATTATCAGGTGTGAGTCATAAAAGACTTACAAGAATAATGATATTATTCTGCTTGGGATAGAGACAACAGTGGTTTATGTTTGGAGCCTCCTAGGAGTTTAGCTTTTCTTTGTAGCAGTGAATCTTAATCTTGGATGCACAATGGTATCACCTGGTGTCAAAGTATAATTTTCAGAAGTTGAAAGCTTGAATGTGATACAAACATACAGTGAGCACTGCCAAAGGCTTATCTGATCCACTTAATGAGGGAACAAGCAGGATGAGTTTAAACCTGTTCGAAGAGAATTAGAAAGACCACATAGACATGGGTATGAAAGGCTCGAATTAGCTTGCTAACTCAGATACAAAACTGGTTAATGTTCTACAGGGCAAAATATTGTAATCTTGGAAATGGGCAGACATTAGCATCTCTACTGTGGAGAGAAGGTATTTGGATTGTTATTGGACAGAATCTACTGTACTGATACCAAATATTTAAAATATGATTGTCAAACTTGGGCGTGTATCAAAATCACCTGGCAACTTGTTAAAATTACAGCAGCCAATGCCGAATATATTTTATCTACTTTACCAAGCTTGCACTTCTATACTCTTCAATAGCACTCTTCATAATGTTGCTATGTATCAAAGACTGAGAATCACTGCTTTATAAGGCGACATCTACTTTTATAGAACTGTGAAATATCTTGAGTAAATATCCTGGGGAAATAAGGAATTAAATAGAGATATATTACTTTAAACAATTGGATGGTCTTTGATTTGGATTGGTAGATAATGCTGATGGGTGATATTAAAAGGCCATGCAGTTTTAACTGGTTTCTAATTTTTTTCCTCTTAATCTTTTGTAACACTGGACAAAAAACCCTACATACAGCTAAGTAAGTATCACTCCTAACTTCTGATTAGTTCATCTTAGGTGTGGCTTAGGAATCAAGGTTATAACCTGTCCAGGTGATTCCAATGTGCTATCAAGGTGGAGAACTACAGATCTTTGAGTTTCCTTTATTTCCTGACTTTGCTGTATTCTACTTTTTATATAGTATCAAGAACATGGTATGTGCTCAGTATTAGCTATTAATTTATGAGTTAATAAATGAAATGAATATTGTTCAATTTGTTGTGCTATGTGTAGGAGAAGGCACAGACTTATTTCCCAGCCTTCAACAGAAGAGTGTTTTATAGGGATGGCTGTCTCATTTTTAATTTCCAAAGGAAAGCAGGGAATTCTCCAGTTAGCATTCTTCCGTGGCTGGTCACTCACACTGCTAAACCCAACTCACAGAACTTTTGGATTTGGTTGAATACTCTCCTCAACTGCTCTAGACAAATTGTTGTTCTCAAACTTGTATCTTCCTTTTTTCTTTCCTGGAATGTCACTGAAGTTTCAGTTATCTCCAAAAATCTTTGGGAGGAATCTTTTTTTAAAGTTTAGTTTTTATTAGTACATATTTTCAGTACATAATAATTCCATTTATCTTAGGATATCTATCTATACCTATATACCTCACATCTTAATCACTTTACTTCCTGTTTTCCTCCCATCTCTTGCCCACTCCCATATCTCTTGCCTATCTCCACAAAATCTACCAGTTCCCTATACCTTTTATTTATTATAAGATAAAAGTAATTCTTTGTGATGTTTTACTTTTATAGCCTCAAAGACTGTCATTACTACTCCACCTTTCTTCTGCTCCAGGATTCCCATGTTTTCTGTTCCAGCTGGTGCTTGCTGTTTGGTGTTACTTCTGGTAGCCAGGAAGACAGGCTGGAATCTTCAGCCATCATTCTCTTATTGTGATCTATTCTTTGCATCCTCTTTGTTTTTTGGGGGGAATATTTTCCAATAAAACTGAAGATATCTTCATTACTATCACCACAATTCTTTCTGAAGGTGAGTGACTTGATAGAAAAATAACACCCATAAAAATCTGGGCTGCCTAGCATGCATGCATATGCCTATAATCATGGCGACTTGGAAGACAGAGGCAGAAGGACCATAAGTATGTATCCAACAGGTAGGGTTACACTGAATTCACTCTTTCCACAATGCTGCAGTAGAAGGATGAAGAATGTACAGGTTCCTACTAGATAACTGTGCACGATTCCAAAGCTACTTGGAGATACCTTATCAAGGGATCTGCACAAAAATGGAAATGAGAAACAGACTCAAAGAGCTAGACCTTCATACCAGGGAGACAGTACATACCTAAGAAGTACAAAATAAGGATAACTTCAAACTAAAAGAGATCTAGTTTGATTGGGGAAACTGCAAATGCTACACAGTGTCTGAGCTCAACTTTAAAGTATAAGATTAAAATATGGAGATGAGGGAATTGAAATCATCCTCAATCCATTTATTAGGCCAGGAAAAGACACTCATATAACCTCCACTTTCTTAAGAGACACGAAATATTTCTTATCTTAAAATGGTTCCTTATGCCTCAGCCATACAACAGCCCATGACCGTCCACTCTAGACAACCACTGACCTGGTTTCTACCCCGTGGATTAGAGCTGCACATTGTGCTTGGTGTTCTCCTATATCATCGCATTTGAACCTCACAGAAGTCCTCTTGTGTTAGTGCAGTGACCATCTCTATTGTATAGATGACAACACAGGCTTAGGTTAGTCCCATTTGTTCCAAGTCAAACAGCCAGAAGAGGGCAGATCTGGAACTTGAACCAAAGCTAATTCCAAAGCCCCAAACTCTTACTCAATTCACACAAGGACAATATAATCAAGAAGAAAGAAACTGTAGGCTAAGTACACACAACAGTGGGTGATTTGGCTGCAGTGAGAGTATGAGGCGTATCAAAAAAGTTCAGCTAGAATTTTGTGGGTTTTTATGGGTTTCTCTTCCACATGGACCTGTAATTCTTTGATGTTTTAGTTATTCTGACCCTGGAGCCTGTGAGCTTAAATCACCTTCTAAATGATTTTTACATGTCAGAGAGCATCCTACTTATGAGGCAGAGGACAAGTCTCAGGTGGTCCTGTGAAATATGAAGTGTAGGGGGCTGGGGATATAGCTCAGTAGCACAGTACCTGCCTGGCAAGTGCAAGGTCGTGAGTTCGATTCCCAGTACTGGAGAAAAACCAAAAAAAAAAAAAAAAAAAAAAAGAAATAGAAGTGTTGGCTTCATAGTCTTTGCTGTTATTTATACATTTGCATGTGTACATTTGTACAGAAATAAATACACATGGTATACATGGGCATCTGTGCTGAAGTATGCAGCCTAATGTCAGCACATTATCAGATTTAAATTAGCTGCCAGATTCTATTAATAGCCCTGGTTTTCCAGTTTCTAAAATAAAAGATCCCAGAACAGCTGGACTCAAATATGAAACAGAATGGCAGAACACAGCCCTATAAGCAGTAGTAGTCTGTCCATAATGGCTAAATAAAGTTTGCAACTTCATAGATTTATGTAGATGCCTATTAAAAATCCATGAAATGCTAAGTGCTGTTTAAAAACAGCATAATCTTCAACCAGTAAAAGCGACTGATGATGCTTTATCAATCATGGAATTTGGAAAACCCCTCTGATATCTCATTAAGGTTGGAAAACAAGGCTGAATTTAGGAGTGTACAGGGTCCATGTTGGTCAGTTGGCTTTAATGAAAGGATAGCATACAGGCCCCCACTCACCCGGATTTCTGGATTCTTGCCATTAAAAGTTTGGATTTTCAAAATACAGTGCCTTTCACAATCCAGTTCAAAGTCCACTGTGTGTTTGACTCTTCCCGTCCTCCCCTCCCCTTCCCTGAATCCCTGAGCATACTGTGAATTGTGCCTTGCTTGGCCTTCTGCCCCATCCATGGGTCCCTCCTTCCTCTACCTGGCAAAATGCTAGTCACTGTTCTAAGCTCCTCTGGTACAAGCCCTCTCCATGAATTTGTAAGACATTCCTCCTCTGAGTCCTCACCTGCCCAGGAAGAATAAATTGTGTCCTCTCTGCTCTTCCTGTAGCACTGCGTCCTTGATCTCTTATGACAAATATGTCATCTTTTCATGGTGTCTGCTTCTTGCTTGCATGAGAACTTCTAGCTCCTTGGGGCTTTAAAGCATGACTCTGGGACAGCAGCATTGGTTGATTTCACCCGTGAAACTCTTAGGAAATCAGAATATCAGCCTCTGCCCTAAATCTACTGCCTGGGAAACTCATGTTACCAGTGTCCCCAGATGGACTCATATAAACACTAACATTGCAGAAGTCTACCTGGTCTCCTACCAAGACCAGGAGTTAGTGATCTTGGGCTCCTCCATAGCATCAAGCAGATTATGTATTAATTCAAAAAATAGATGCAAAGCCACATGCTAGATACTGTTTTAAGAGTCAGGTGTTCAAATATGACTAGGATACAAAGCACGTGACATTAGTGTCATTATAACTGTGGCTGGAGTTTAGGGTCCTGTAGGTGAGATAGGAAAAGGCCAAGTCTATTGAAAGTCTTGAAAAGGTCTTCTGGTCAAATGAGTGTGAGAAATATAAGACTGTGAAGTATTCAGTAAGTTTCTTTACTGTGGGATGTCTTAGATCATTTAAAATATTTTGTGCCTTGTGTCTATAATGTGCACCATGCCACAAACATAATATGGTCATAGAATTTTTATTTATTTACTTATGCATGGCCCATCTCATGGGGTTGTTTTTTCAAAAAATACATTGAGAATCATTGATCTCTTCTCATGAGTGTGTTTTTCATTTGTTTGGCTTGGTATTGTTTTGTATGGTGATTTGATTATTGACCATCTAATTTTCCTTCTCAACCACACTGTAAGCTCTTGGAGAAAAAGGAAGAATCTGATTGCAGCTTTCAAGTTGCTACTTAATCAGTATTTGTTGAAAAGTTGCAGTATGTCTGCCTCGTAACAAGAAGAGTGTTGCTACACCCCTGATTGACAGTAAATGCAAAGGGATTTGAACAGGGTAAGCAAGATGCTTGACTTGGGTTGTATTTCTGGTTCAGACTCCAGCTGTGTTGATTCTGAGCCAATGATTTACTGTTCTGGGCCCAAGCATCGTCATTGGGTGGTAGTCACCCTTTGTGTCTGAATCTACAATTTTGAACTTGAAGTAAATAACAGGGAAAATTCTACACCCTCCTCTCCTGAAAACAGTTTTTGAAAATTAGAGAGAGTCAGCGATTTAGAATGATATGGGGGACAGCCATCTCTGAAGCCGTGAAATGGATACAAAATCTTCTTCACACAGATATTTCAGGTCTGAAATTCTTCACTCTGTAAAATGGGAATAGGTAGCAACTGTTTGCCTGCCATTATCACTCTGAACTGGAATAAATCCTAGGAAAGCTGGCCTTTCTAGTTTAGAAAAGCATCTACTAAAAACAGAAGTTGACTTTAACCATGATAAAAAATTAATGATGCATTGAATTCTAAAGTATCGATAACATAAACAATAATACCTTATGCTTACAAAGCAAAGGCCTTCGATGTTGCTCAAAGCACTTCACACTGATTTCCTGGAATGCTGAAATCTCCTTTTATGGATGGGGAAACAGAAGTCCAGAGGGGTGAGGCCGAGGTCACAGTCAGGGTTCAAGATTGCCCCTGGACCTCCTATTTCCGTCTGACCTTTTTGTTAGCCCCAGATCCGCAAAGAATACTTATTCTGACCTCTAGCCTGGATGATAAAAGCAGGCTTCACCATGAAACCTCACAATATATTGTGAGCTGTGTACTGTTATATGTAGTTTCTTGAAGCCCTCAGATAAACAATGATAATTAGAAATGGGCATGTGTTGTGGCAGATTTGAAGTACTGTAATTCTTAAGTCCGAATGCTTCTGGTGATAAGCAGACTTCACTTACCCAAAATCAGGCTCCGTGATTAACTGGCAATCGGTGGGTATTAATTTTGAGGCAGGGCCTACAAATCTCTGTGCTGGTGGGAACTGCAGGTCTGAGGCCAGCCTCATCTGCAGCCTGCTTGAGGTTGGACCAGAGACTACTGAGTGGAACTTCTCCTTTCATCCCTGTCTGTCTCCTGGTTCCGGGCATCTTCAATTCCCGGTATTTCAAACTCCATTTCCATATCAGCGCCATTATGTCCAATGCGATTGTCCCTTCTCTTGGCAGGGCCCATCCACCAGCCTTGTTCTGTTATCTTCCCCTTGGCCTCCTACATCAGTGGACTTGTAGCTCCTTATGATCTGCTGAACATTAATATTCACTAACTTGCTCCAGGGAGCTACGCTTCACTGAGTGCATTTTCACCTGAAAGGAGTTGTTTAATATAAACATTTGGTTAATATTCTGTACATTTGAAAGTATTTTATCAGCATCGGTGTAGGACCAAAAGTCATTTAAATTCAATGGGAACGATTATGCGCCAAGAATCGGTCCTTTCCAAAAGAGTGTGTTTTCCCCCTAATATAATGTATACATTATAAAACTCACTTACACGGTTGATGGGAACACTTTGTGGACAAACTAGCAGCCCTGCATTTCATCTGACTGTGTATTCATCAGCTCTGATGCTAGTGTTAAATTGGGGAAAATATTATACAATATTGCTTTAAAAACTGTCTAAATATAATTATCAGCATCTCCAGAGTGATAATAATTATCATAACAAGAGCTCATCAGAGGAAACACACATTTTGATGAGTATCTTCTGCTCATGAGTCTGCCCCCTTGCTGAAGGAAGCACTAACATTCCTCTTCTTTCTCCTTTTATTTTTAACCTTCCTAGGGAATCCTAACTCTCTGAACTCTCGGTTTGTTCCTTGTACAAGTTTTCTTTACCCGTGTCTCTGTGAAACTCATTATCTCAAACAGTCATTAGATATAGAATACAAGCAGCTACAGGAAGGGCTGAGCTAGATGAATGGAAAATAGATTTCTAGCTAACTGCTGAGATTTGTCTGTAGTATATTTCATAGTTTGGATAAAATCTTCATAAAAAATTATCTTTTTGGATACAGATTTCTTTTTTACTTTTTTAAAACTGGGAAATAGAACTTACTGGAGAGTAATTTACACACACACACACACACACACACACACACACACATCAGATAGGAATAAATATGGCACTAACTTCTTGGTAACACCTCTGCCTACCACATAGGGTGAACCATGTTCTTAAGGGTAGCTGGAGTTTGTTTATTTTCAAGTTCCGTACAGCATTCTGATCATAAATGGCTTCATTTATTCCTTCTAGCATTGTCAGGCTCTTGAAAAATCCTATTCATGGCTATAACATATTACATATCAGAGCATATCAGAGCATATGATTGTTATGTGTTGCATTACTTTAATTTCATTGGGCAATGTCCAACCGTTTTCCAAAGTAGTGTCACCAGTTCACATTCTTCACTGCAGCACATGAGGTCTCTATCAATGTGGGATATTGCCAGACTTTTAAATTTGGGACAATTTGGTGGGTATGTAATGGTATCTAACTATAGTTTTAATTTGCATTTCTTTGTATATGAATGAGATTAAATATGCATTTTGATTTGTTGATGGATTGTTGGAAAGTCTTTTGTGAAGTGTCTGTTCAAGCTCTTTTCTCAAATGTGTACTGAGTTGTCTGACAGATTTGAGGCTGTGATAAAGAATGACAGCCATACCACTGTGTTTATATAGACAGTACTCAGTAGCATGATCTGGAACTTTGACATTATTTAGCTGTAATGAAGACAACGCATGAGTGTTGGTTACTTGATTTGAATTTCTATTTCTGGTATTCTTATGGGCTTCCATATTAAAGAAAATAGGGATCCTTCCAAAGGTGCATGGGAGCCATCTCAGCATCCAAATTCATTTCCGTGTAGCTGGGTTGTTTCAGAAGGTCTCTATTCCTGCAGAAATGATTTAGATTGCTGTAGTAGGTACTTCATAATGCATACCACAGAGTTCCAAAAATTCCTGATTGTACAAATAGGAATTAATTTACAAAAATTTGTAAATTTCTGTATAAGCAAATAACTTGCAAAAACCTGGAGAAAGACCAAAATGTAATCTCTGGGATACTCAAACATCTCATTAGTGTTCTGACAGTATGGATATTTGGGTCCTAATTGGGTCTATCTATCTATCTATCTATCTATCTATCTATCTATCTATCTATCTATCTATCTATAGGTAGATAGATAGATATAGATATAGATATAGATATAGATATAGATGTAGATATAGATAGTCACACTGAGTCAGACTATGAAACAGTCAGCCCAGAATTCTCTATGGGCGGAAAAAATTGGGGCAAGAATGTGACTAACTCACCCTCTGTGATGCTTCTTCAAATGGTTCAGATGCCCTCAGACTCCAGAACATATCCAGGATTTATCACTTACAGTTAAATACTTCTTGATTCTATTTGTGGTCCCAGAATTCACAGATACTCTCTGTATGTATCAAGTTTCAGCTCAAAAAAGACTGTTGATGGCTCCAGTTGTCCCCTTCTCCAAAGAAGGTGTCTCTTCTCGACTGCATATCTTTTCTAAGTCACCACAAGAGCTATTCCTCAAATTAGAGAGGGCCATATTTGGGCTAAAGACTGACCAGTCACCTACTTGGACAGTAGCTTCTGTGAATAAATCCCTTGTGGATGTGTTTGCTTAAGAGCCATGACAGTGGCATGGCCAGTGCCTTGCCTAGAACAGAGGCTCCCATCACAGCTCAATGCTAATTGGAATCTTGGGATACATGAAGCTGCACAGCTCCCTTTGCTTTCTCCTCTTTTTGTGATGGAATCAGTTGACTTTAAGCTGAACATATGGCAGCTGCTGTCATAACCCAGAAACCATCCCCTCTGCCATGGCAACCAAAGAATCAGTGCACACTTACAGCTTGGCCTCACTCAATAAACAAACAATGGTAGAACGTATAGTTTTATGTGTTTGCTTGCTCTTGTGTTTTCTCCTAAGCATTTAGAATAGCAGGAGATAATTCATAGCTTTTTCTTAAACACACCCCTCAATTCTTTCTGTGAAGACAGATGCTTGGCATTTTTTATAAATCTTGTTCTACTTCATTTCTGTAGCAGCTCTTTAATGGAACCACCTTACATTTCCAAATTTCAGGGATGCTGCTCATCCTTGAATGCATTGGATCTGATTCAGTTTTCTCTAGAAGATCTTTGAAATTGATTCACTAGTATATTGCTCCTCAAGCCTATACCCAAAGGACATCTGTAGACTAAATAATTTGGCTCAGTAGCGACAGCAATATCAGAGCCATGAGTTCTGCTGACTGTTTTAAGGGTAAGTGGCTTAGTTTTGCTCCACTGTCATCTTGGTGGGGCATTGTCTCCTTGCTCACCCTTGAGTGGTAACTGCATCTTATTGTCTATATCAAAGTAGTTCTATCATAGCAACAAAGGAAGAAGAAAAAAAGAAGGATATTTTCTGTGAGAAAGCATAGCCAAGGGCTATTTCTTCAGGCTTCACATAACCTCATTCCAAAATAAAGCCAAGCCAAAGAGTTGAAAGGAGCAACAATGGGGACTAGAGGGCATGAAAATCTGGTTTCCACTTCTGTCTGTACTCAGCAGCCTGCAGCTCCTTGCACAGGTAGGGTAGTTCAGGCCATGGTGCAAACCACCTTCCTGGGAGGACCCCATGTTTCTTCAGCTCTCAGCAGTCTGCCGTTCTCTCTGTGTCATGCTCACCCATTACCATTTTAATTTAGCTTTATATGGCACTGTTCTGCAGATTGGTTTGCTTTCTTGGGTTTGTTTATTGTACAAATGACAAACATGAGGGTATTTTCAAGATGTGAAAAAATGCCGTGAAGTTGGGGAAAGGTGGTGACTTCTCTTTGCCAAACCCCAAGGACAGTGAAAGCAGAGATGGTTCTGACAGGGGCCTACAAACGTTTTCAACGCTAAAATGCTCAGGAGCTTTGATCGCATTGAAATGAGGAAGCGTGGTGGAACCTGGAGACTCAGACATGACCCTGAATTCCTCTCTCTCTCTCCTCTCTCTGTCTGCCAAATAGGACGTGGGTCATCCAAATCTTCAGAGTGTCACTGAGTCCATCTTTTCTTTAATGGAAACAACTCTTTCTTTCTGGGGATTGTGAGCAATATTTGGACACAAGACACAAATAGTTAGGGAGGGGCATGATGAGGAGTTGGGAGGTCTTGTGAAACCATGTTAAGACATTGACGGGTTTGTGTAGTGTAATCCTTCACCCCTTGAGGTCTATCCATGCATGCATTTACCTGGTATTCCCTGACATTCATTTATGATTGGGTGCATAAGTAAACAGTTTCTTCATGGGATGTTTTAAAGTAGAAAAATGACTTCTTTTGGGAGTGGGAATTATAAAAACTGTCTTATATAGACCATTTCTTCCATATGCAGTGGTTATACCTGAGAAATGGCTTTTATTTAATATTTGTTGAGACTTAGTGTGACCTGTATAATCTCAGTCAGAAACAGCCAGTGATTGTTCAGTATACTTCCAATCATGAATCCAAAGTTCACGACAGACATTGCTAATCAAGCACTGCACTCTTTCCTGCTGAACCACAACACACTCTGAGGTCCTTCTCAGGGTAGGCACAGAGATGCTACCAGTTGATCAGAGTTGAGATGCAAGGTGAAATAGCCTACCTTTCCTGGTCTGGGATCAGCCATGTGCTTCTTCTTGGTCTGGAAACCTTAGTTTGGAAAGTATAAATAACTCTTCATCCTGTTCCTCTTCTCCCTTTCTCTTGTGAAGTATTGCAAGTATAGGAGGGACATCTACGCATGGCAATCACTGTTTTGTCTTTTGTCGCCTTCTAGCCACCTCTTTCCTTATATCCTTGGACCTTGTTCACTTATTCAGTAGGGCTTAGGGTTGCCCTGTCATGGCACATCTTGTACTCCCTGGCTGAGTCCTTATTCCATGGGGAAGACGGGCCAAATTCTGAGAGGGCCTCCAGGATTCATTTCCCATTGTGATCACACTCTTTTGTTCCTATGATTGTGTTACATGCCAAGACAAAGGGAGTGGATTTTGCAGATGTAATTAAGGTCCCCAATTAGCTGTTTTTAAATTAGTCACAAGGGAAATTATCACAGGTGTGCCTGGCCTAATCAGGAGAATTCTTAAAATACTGGGCCCTTCATGATGGAAGAAACAAATTCTCCTGTTGGTCTTAAAAAATCAAACAGGTATAGCATAAACTGCCTGTGGAAAAGGCCATGTAGCCATATCCTGAGCACAGCCTCTAGCTGCTCACAGCAATCCTTGACCAACAAGATAACGGGGCTGTCATTCCTACAATTACAAGAAAATAATTATTGTAACAATCTGAATGAGCTTGGTGTTGGAGATTTCTCTATTTTAGTCTCCAAATGAGGATACAGATGACCAGAATTTTGTTTTCAGCATTGTGGGGGCTCCAAATCATGGAACCTGTGAAATAATACAGTTAGTTCCTGTTAAACCACTCAGTAGTAACTTGCTACAGTAAAGAACAAAAACAAAAACAAAAAACTAATGTACTAGGCCAGATGTAAATCAGCTTTCAAGATTGGCTCTTTAGCCTTTTTTTGTACCTCTCAAAGTTGACAAAAAATCCTTTTGTTTGAAGAGTCTTATTGGTTTTCTTGTAGGAAGATGAGTATGCAGTAGTAGAGTCAGCCCTCTGTATCATGGGCTCCACATCTGCAGCTCAGCCAAGTAAACACAGAAAAATTTGAAAAAATATTTATACCCATACCAACATGTACAGGCAGTAATATTCATTGTTCACTAAAGAATTTGGTTTAATGACTATTTACATAACATTTAAGTCATATTGGGTACTATAGATAACTAAAAATGACTTAAAGTGTATGAGAATATGGATTTTGCTAACCACAGTAGTCCTGGAAATGGTCACTTTGGCAGATACCTAAGGATAACTGTTCAATAACAGCCACAGCAAAACAGTGATAGTATAAGGAAATTAAAGCAACTTTAAAACTTATTATAATACAATAATTTCTTCTTTCCACATAAAAACCTAATGAAACAGGATTAACCCTCCTTCCCTTCTTCACCTCCATATATAGAGTGGACCTATATTAGATGCTCTTTGTCCACAGATCAGATAGGTGTAGTCCATACCTTAGAAAATCTCCAGGGATGCTGTAGGCTGAGCCCTGTCTTAGAAGGAATCTAACACATTCTAGACTGTCCCCTGAGAATTCTTGTGTTTAGGCAGTTTGCCCTTCTTTTTGCTCTATTCTCTATGCTACCCTTTGTGTGTGAACACCTCACCTACCTCATGAAGAAAGGTTGCTCTTTTCTAGGCGTTTGGTGGGAAACAAGCATTATTAATCACTTACATTTTGAAAAGCTGTAGGCAAGAGTCTGAATTCTCCTTGGGCTATAATGGCTTGTGGCTCTCCTTGTGGCTGCCAAGTTTATAATAAATGACTATTTAACATAGGATTTCTTTAACATAAATGAAATAGATTCTTCTTTCTTTTGGGAAATGCCTTTGGACTTATTTTTATTTGGAACTTTCATTAATTTGTTGTGTCCAACAATAATGTAAGAATTTCACCCACTTTATAAAGTTGTGAAGATACAGTGAGGAAATGTGTAAAGAGTTAGCATTGCAAAGCACCTATCACATGCTTAATAAATCTGGCTAATATTATGATAATTCGTGTGAGATATCTATTATGTGCCCAGCAGAGTGTATGACCTTAAAGTGGGAAACTGTACATCCTGACGTGCCAGCTGCATATGTCACAGTAGAGACTCTTAAGCTACATATCACCACAGGTCTGGTCCTTCATGAGTAGTGGGGCTCAGGAACCTGAGTATAAATTGGAAGATCTGAGCCTGCTGCAAAAACACAGCCCAGCTCCTTATGTCAACAGCAGCTTAGTTCAGGTAGATAATGGGACTAGTTAAGAAGTCTCTAGGTTGGGCTTTTTCTAGACCCAAGAGGAAGAAAGAGACTTGTGTGCACAGCTATGTAGTCTCAGAATCAAGAAAATCTAATCCTAGAGCCCCAGCTGATTGTGTAGATAATGAAGTGTGGGTATTGGGTACCTAAAAACATACCCAACTGGTAAAAAACAAACAAACAAACAAACAAAAAAACAGCCCTGGGTCTCGTCAGAGTCTCTTCTCTTTCTGGGCATGCAGAAGGCCTATTTAAACAAGTTGTCAGTTTTATATATACAGTCAGCATGCTTATTTGCCAGCTCTACATCTGCAAATTCAGTCCATCATGGGCCAAAAATATTGGGAAAAAAATTCTGCCTGTACAGTGAACTTTTCCTTGTTACTATTCTATAGACAATACATAACAATTATTTACCTATAACTTGCATTGCATTAGGTAGTCTAAGTACAGATGATTTAAAGTATATAGTCAGATGTGCAAAAGTTATGTTGAAATACTACGTAGTTTTCAGAAGGGACTTGAGCATCCATGGATTTGTTCTTTCCATCCCCCATGATGACAGCAGAGATAACGTGGGCGAGCACACAAATGAACATTGACAGGCATAATATACAATAAGGAAGCAGCTTGGCTCACCTTTTGTGTTTCTGTGTTCTTTCTGTCTGGTCACAAAATATAGGTAAGTTCAGCAATGGCTGCCTTAAAAACTTACAGAGTTCGCATGCAATGTTGGATCTTCTGCTGTTTGGTTTGTAAAATCTCTGTGTTGTACATCTTTAGTCCTTTTTAAAATGCCATTCTTTCTCCAAGGTCCCTCAATCACTGCATCCGAAGTGTCTGAGTCCTTCTTGTTCATTCAGTCCTTCCTGGTTGAGGTCCAGCCATGCTAGTACTAGAACTATAAGAATATCCTGATATCAGAGTGATAGAAAGACCTTTCTGAGGAAGATGAGATACTCAGAAGCTGTAAATGAAAGGTTGGAAAGACTTCACCACATTCAAATGAAAGCTCCATTCAGCAAAACACCAGATACAAATTCTGAAGATAAAGTACACACTGGATCTCCTGAAAATAGACAGAAGGCTATCACTATGCACCAAACTAAAGTCAAAATGGATCACAAATCTCAATATTGAGACAGAAGCACTAAATCTATTAGAAGAGAAAGTAGGCAAAAATCTTGAAGACATAGGGGTAGGCAGAGAGTTCATGAACAAAAATGAAACCATGAACAAAGAATCAACAACTGGGATCTCATCCTACTGAAAAGTTTCTGCACATCTAAAGAAATCACCAGCAGAGTAAAAAGAAAACCCACCAATTGGGAAAAAATTTCAGCTGACTGTCCCTTGGACAAAGGTCTTCTATCTAGAACATATAAAGAATTAGAAAACATCAGCCCTTCCAAATTCAAAAACTGAATCCAAAAATGGGCAGCTGAGATGAATACACATTTCTCAGATAAAGAAATACAAATGGTAAATAAGTACATGAGAAAATGTTCAACATCATTAATCATTCAAAGATTGAAAATTAAAACAACATTGAGATTTCATCTCACCCCAGTAAGAATGGCTATCATTAAGAAATCAACCAATAACAAATGCTGGCAAGGCTGTGGAGAAATAGGAACTCTTCTCCACTGCTGGTGGGAATACAGACTGGTTAAACCACTGTGGAAATAAGTTTGGAGATTCCTCAGCAAACTAGGTCTAGAGGTCCCATTCAACCCAGCTATTCTCCTCCTGGGTATTTTTCCAGAAGATCTGAAAACATCATATCACAGCGATATATGTGCACCAATGTTTATAGCAGCAAAATTTGTAACTGCTAAATTATGGAAGCAACACAAATGTCCATCCACTGAGGACTGGATAAAAAAATTGTGGTACTTTTATATAATGGAATATTACTCAGCTATAAACAAAGATAAACTAGAGGCTTTTACAGGTAAATGGTCACAACTAGAGACCATGCTCATAAGTGAAATAAACCAGACCTCCATGTATAAGCAACGTATTGTCTCACTAGTGTATGCACATGAATAAAAATTAGGAGATATAGATGGACACTGTGAAATGAAAGAAAAATGCTCAAAAGTAAAGAGCAACTGGGGTGAGGGAAAAGAGAAAAGAAAGAACGGGAAGTTATATATGTATGTATATACAGGATAGCTAACATAGTTCTACTACTGACTTTTATCACTTTACTGAAAGGAACAGTTAATGATCAATTATTTGATCAATCTTGCATGTCTCTATTTGTTTTCCTGAGAAACCACTTTGAAAATGTCAATACGCAATACAACAACCATTGTTAATTTCCTGCCACTTTGTCTGTAACTCTGTATTGCATGTATTGTTCTTATGCTATTTTGTAAATAGATATCTGTTTTTTAATATGTTTTCCTTCTTTTATTTTAAAAATAAATTTAAAATACTACACACTGGAGAAACCTCTTCTCTCCACATGTCTGTTAGTCCACAAAGGACAACCGCAGCCCAACTATAAAAAAATGAACAAAATAAGAGAAAGACACTACAGCACAGAGGTGAAGGACATAAGAAGAAATAGGAATAACCAATTAACCAACTGAAGACTGTTCACTCTTAACAAAGAGTGAAGATAAAAGTTTAGTGAAGATTAAAATTTATCAAAGATTGAAATATTGCTATCTACTAAAGAAAAGCATCTGGGGCAGAAAGGTAGAGTAATTAGCACACTTCTGGCAAATAATAGGCATTCAAGGAACTCCGAATAAATGAATCCATTGGGGAAGGGTACAGGAAATGGTAACACTGGCTTAGTCTATACCTGTGTTTATGGTCCAGACTGTGAGCAGTGTGGTCTAACAAGATGTCTTAGGCTTTACCCCTGGATTAAGTTCAAGCAAAGGATACTTCATTTTGGTGACTTATTTCGAATAATAGAACACAGAATATTTTTGAAAGTCCTGTAGTATTCATCTGGTTAAATCTGAGAATAACTTTCTCCCCTTTGTACTTTTGCCTATGTCTTTATCTTTTTCTGCATAGATGTTCTTCTTTTCAATCTTTGAAGTTCATTATCAGACTATGTCTTGGTGAGGACAGCCCTTTTTAATTTCATTCAGACCTTTATTTCCTTTAATTCAGGAATTGTTGAATGCCTTTTAATTTTTCTCTTCTGCTTCTCCCTTTCCATCCACAAACTGTCTGTCACTGCATATTTTGGATCTTTTAACCATGTTCCTTGGATCTCTGTTTTATTATGCCGTGGCTATAATCACTCTTTTATGTCAGGGATTCTTTTTGCACCCAGGGGCACATTTGGCAATGTTTGGAAACATGCTAATGGTATCCATAAACATTAGAGTGGCGTTTAATAGGTAGAGACCAGGGAGGCTGCTAAACATCCTGCAGTATGCAGGACAGTAACTACCACAACAAAGAATTATCCTGTCCAAAATGTCTACAGAACAATATTGAGAAATACTAGATCCTGTCTGGATCCTGATATGTCTGCAATTTATTGATTTCAGGTAATTGTGGGAGAAACCCAGAACTTCTATGAAAGTAATGCATAGATAGTATTTCTGGATACTAAAGGTAATACTAAAGGTAATCTTAGCAGCATAGGAGCAGGGAGCATGCATGTAAGTATGGGAAGGACAAAATCATAGAAATGTTCTTTTGTACTTATTAATATTTCTCTACCATGATGAGACTCTTATACACATGTGATTGAGATTAAATAACAAATGCTAGAATAAACCTTGATTAAACCTTGATTATCTGACATGATTAGGGTTTGCATTATTAGTGTGGTTATATTTTCTAATTTATGCAAGCTTAATCTTAAAATACATCTGTTTAAAGAAAAGATCATTTTCTGAGACTCTTGCACTGTCTCTGGACTATGAAGCAAGTTGAAAGCCGTAAGTTCCTATATCAATGTAGAAGGGGTGAATAATGGTTATTCACACAGTTTCTCTTCCATATGAGCTTGGACTACAGTGATAACTGAACACAGTGAATCTTCTAAAAGTGACTTTTAAGAAGTCAATATCTAACAGTACTATGTTCCAGTACATCAGCATCTGACTGCAATTTTATTTACCCCCTGAATCACATGGGTATAAGAGTTTCATCCTGGTGGAGAAATCCCATGAGACCATGAACTGACTCTTGCTCACTCGATCTCATTTTTTCCCTTAGGTGCACACATCTGAGTGCTTGCTGTTTTAATTGTTTGAAAATTCATTTGCATGGTTTCCTTCAATATTTCATAGAACTCACAAAATTAATTACTTGATCTCTTTAAGAATAAACATCCTCTCTCCTCCCTTTCTGTATTAAGGCTAATTTAAAGGGAGGAATTTAATTCAATAGAGTCTCATTGTTTACTCAAATTACACATGCATAATGAGATCTCCGTAGGAAAGGATGCTGAATGCCACCTTTGAGACTCCCTCAGTACCTTGGGGCAAAAATATGATAGTCTAACTGTGCAGTCACGAAGACTTTCCTGAGTATAGCTTTTGAATGGTCGAACCTGTAGTTCCTAGGGCTCCCTTTAAATCTAACAGGCTAAAAGTAGTGAGAGAGAAGGGTGGCTACATCTTCTGCAGGCAGGGGTCCCCGTTATCATCGGTGCAGTGGCCGTGTGGGTTTCATAATTTCCAAAACTCATGGATGTGCCACGCTTGATAAAATGACGTGATAAGCTAAACTAGGGCACCAAAATTGTTCTCCCATTTATTTTTTTCCTACAGTCATTGCTTGATATCCTCCAATATCTTTTCCACAAAGAGTTGAAATAAAGATGAAAACTGACACAGATATTGTCCATCTGGAGTCAGCTGTGGATGTTCTTTTCATTTCTCTGCTTTATTTTGTTGCTCTCAGTCAGTCTGTGGTGTTAACCAGAGAAATTTTAAGTAGAATTTATAATTCTTTCAAAGACTCTTTTTAAGTTTAAGAATGGTTATTTTCTTCTACAAAAAAGATTACTCAGAAGTTATTCAATCCGTGGACTATTTGGATGTGGCAATGCTATTAGTGGAGGGATAATGGGGCCATACCATTTGGCTAGACTTGACCACGTCTCACCACTCTTGTAAGCCTTCTTCCATCTTTTGGACCACCTTCCATCCTCCAGTCATCCTATCTCGAAGCATTCTGCTCCAGTGTGATGCTGAGAATGGAACAAAGCAGTGGAATACACACCCAGTGTTCAAATTCTACAGCTGTACTAGCCAAGTGACCTTGACCAAAACAGAGCCCAAGCTCTCAGAAACAACACCAGTTCTGGCCAGTCACCATCCCCACTGCTTGTGGATCAGGAGGACAATGCAGGTGATGAGTATTTTCAAAGCCACAGCATCTTTAAAATATTGCTAAGGCTACTTCCCCAGGCTGAAAAGATTCTTCATATTTCCTCTTTTCTCTCTCCCTAAACTTAGAACCCCAGGGTCCAGATTATGGGAACAAACTGCCTTTTAAGACTTTAAATGACTCAGCAGCAAAAACAATACCATGATTATTATTACATGTGGTTTAAATCTCAGCATGAGGAGTAATAGTCGAAAAACCTCATTCTTTCCAGCCTGTGCGCCAGGAAAGTGTGTAAAAATGGGTATTATTTGGTTGATCAAGTGAAATGAACTAGCAAATTATAAAAATGTGGATGGGAAGACTGAGGAGAGAATAGCTACGCCTGCTAGTCAGTCTGCCTGGGGGTTTCGGGGAGAGTATGATAATGATCGATGACTGCCTGTTGAAGCCATTATGGCCTGTTAGGTTCAAGTGCATGGGCTGGAAATCCTAATCAATCAAACGAGGAGGACAGTGTGGTCACTCATACTAGATGGGCTGATTTCCATCCAAACCAGTCAAGCGGCCACTTGATTTACCAGGAGCAAGGCTTGCTGTGCAGCATTGAGAACTGTACTCTGCTCAAGTTTTGCTCCTAATGAGAAAGAGCTCATTGTTCTAATTGGTTTGAGAATGAATCCGATTCTGTCCCCTGGGGAAATCTGTAAATGCTCAGGGCTCATCTTGTCCTCTCTCATCACCATCCACCCTCGTCCCCTTGTACCCTCTTCACCACTGGAGACAGAATGATCTATTCAAAATGCAAATCTAACCATGCCTCCTATTCTATTGTCTAGTAAGACCTCTAGAATAAAGCCCAAATTCCTTAACATGAACTATAAAGCATTCCATGATCTGGTCCTCAGCTCAGTGATATAGCCTTATGCTTTGCTGGTACGCAACTAGAGATCTGTGCTCTTATACCAGCAGAGAACTAACAATACTAGTTATTTAGGCTCCCCTCCCGCTTTACTCAGGCTTCTACACTGTCCTCATGTGGCTATTTTTCCTTGTTCTTTAAGATTTAACTTTTAACTCAGCCACTCTTTCTAACAAATCCCTCTCTCTCTCTCTCTCTCTCTCTCTCTCTCTCTCTCTCTCTCCCCCTCCCTCTTATTTTTTCAATACAAAGTATCACTATATAGCCCAGGTGGGCCTTGAACTCAGTGATCCTCTTGCTTCAACCTCCTGAGTGCTGGTATGTAACAAACCTGCACCACCATGCCTGGAAAACAAATCTTTCTTATAACTCCAGAGTGAGGTGCAAGGGTACAAGGAAGTTTCTGCTCTGTGCTCACATTGATCTTATACATAGCTAATTCTTTACTTCTGATACATGGAAATGGTCTTAGTGTGTGCTCTTCTACCCAAGTGTGATTTCAAGGGCAAAGACTACATCAATAAGCCACAAGCACTTAGCACAAAGCCTGACAACCTATGCAATAAATGTCTCAGTCTGAACTATTAGTTGTGTTTCTAGAACCTTCCAACAGTACAATACATATGTGCGCCATGAGTAGAGATCTCTTTTGATTACCACAGGGGAGATTTTGAGTGCTTACCAAACCAATATGCATTACCACACCAATATGAAAGTTTCTGTATTTCAGAATTCATTTTAGCATCTCACTGGTTCCTTGCATCATGATGGTCACTGTGGGAAGACATCAATGACTAGGCAGGACAGCTGTCTTCAAGGAGTTTGTTTTATAGGCACAGGAAGCTAAATGTAGTTGCTGTAAGAAAAATCATACTGCTGAGCCATAGTAGAGAGACAGACTGAATCCTCCCGATGGAGTCAGAAAAGACTTTTTAGGATAAGAGTCCCTCCAGCTAACCTTGGAAAATGGCCAAGATTTTGAAAGTTAGAGATTGGATAGAGGTAAAGGGATAGGGGAAGGTAATGCATTCTAGCCAGGGAATATCAGAGGCAAGAAGACACAGAAAACCCTGAGTGCGTTTAGGTAAGAGGACTCCTTCTGACAGTTGCAATTTGAGTCTAACATGAGTCTTTTATACCAATAACCCCCACCTCCATACCTCAGCCATCCTAATTCATTCTCTAGTGTATTGGTTCACAGGCCTAAGTAAGCAACAGAACTGGTGGGTCCCTGACTATCGGGTCTCACTTCTGGATTTCAGGTTTAGTAGGTCTAGTGATGGTGCTGCTGTGTTCTGGGGCCATATTTGAGAACTACAAGAAAACTTTGCTGTTTATATGACTGACCGAAAGGTATGTTCCCCTCTCTCACCCTGGACACTATAGGAGATAGGCTTCAGAACTCAACTCCTGCCTTGGCCCCTGTGGACTTGAGAGGAACAATTTTTCCCAGAAATCACAGCCAATTGCCCATTGGCAAAGCGACTGCTACCATGGAAGTTTCAGAGCAGGCAGCATTATCCCAGCATCCTGGCAAATGAAAGACTAACTTGGACCATCTGGTTCTGTAACACCCTCCTACACCACTGCTTAAAAGCAGCTGAACATATTTTTTCTTACATTTTGTCAATAAAATATTGCTCCCCCAGGCTGTCAGCTTGCCACGTTTTCAGCCCTCAGCAAAGTGGGAGAGTTAGTGACGGTGGCAAGGAGAGGGCCACGGGGCAGCACCGCAGCCTTTTGCTGCTGAGACTGCAAGACCTGCTGTTTTGGGGGCAGATTTGCTAAACTGAGGCCTTAAAGTATTTTCTTAAAAGTGGAACCAAAATGTTTTGAGACCTTTTCTGGTTGTGGTGCCCTTCCTGTCCTGTTAATTTTGCTTTGCCTTATGACAGTGAAGAATCAATGTCTAGCATTTCCAACAGCCAGGTAGAGTGTGTACACATTTATTAAGATTAATTAAAAAGTAACAAATTGTAAAGTAATAACATTAACAACCAGTAGAAAAAGCGTAGACATTTTGACAGTCTTTTTGAATTTCATTAAAAGATGGTAGTGACAAAAACCCCAGAGACTATTTCTACTTTACTAAAGAAATAGGTCACAGATTCAATTACAGTCACTGAAGCATGGACTCAATCTATCATGGCAAATTAAGTACATTTTAGCAACCTACTTTCCTTTAAAAATTTTATAGACACTTTCAGTGGAAGAAGAAAGACTATAGAAAAAATACAGACAGAAATTGCAAAACCACATCCCACTCTTGCCCCCTCAACCTAGACTTTGAGTAAGCATTTGGCTTATTTGCTTTGGGTATGACAGAAAATCATTAAAAAATACTCAGCTTGCTCAAAATTATTACTTTTCCATCCTTCATGGTTTAATGATGCAAATTTGGGATTGGGAGTGGGAAAGCCCTCCAAATTAGAGTCCCAAGTCTTCAAAGGGGGGCATTGTTCTACAGGCACAGACCCTCACCCCTCTTTTAAAAGGGGACTATTTGTACTTAATAGCTTTTATGAATTTTTTGCCTTAGGTTCTCGGCAGTGCTGTTGTGTTCATTTCAGAAAGGATAAATAAATAAAAAAGGGATTGTTCAGCCTGTGGATATAGTTTAGCCAACTGCAAATACTGGGACAATGAAACACCCTTTTGCCCATAGCAAAGCTGATTTCATGTGGACAACTGAAATTTATGAAGGGCCTCTTGCAATGAAGTGGCAGGGGCTATCATTAAGTCAATTCAGCAGCAGCCACTTTAGAGACGGAGGGAAGGAGATCCCTGTGTTTGTCCTTCGACAAGTAGGAACCTGAGGCCAGGACATTCACCACCTAGGGGAAAGTATCTTAGGAATCTAGCCTGGCTAGGAAGCACCAGAAGATGGGGTTTAGGTTTTGTCCCAAAGATAGTGCCATCAAAGCACCAACTCGGTGTAGCGCTCCATAGTGTTTAATTCCCCAAGCTCTCGCCTTTTCTTGTACAACCGTGACTAGCTTTCCCTCAGTGCTCAGGATGCACAATGAGTTCAAGGCCAACCTGAACTGCATAGTGAAACCCTATCTCAAAAAACAAAACAAAACAAAACAAAACAAAACAAAACAAAACAAAACACCCAAAAAACCAAATCAAGATAAGCATGCCTTTGTTTCTTGGAGAAGTGATGGAGGCTTTTGATGCATCTCTCAATTATCTTGCTATTGCACAATTAAATGAGTATCTCTTTGCCCAGGCTGAAGGCTAGCCATATTTTGTGTGTGTGTGTGTGTGTGTGTGTGTGTGTGTGTGTGTGTGTGTGTGAGAGAGAGAGAGAGAGAGAGAGAGAGAGAGAGAGAGAGAGAGAGAGAGAGAAAGTGGGTCAAAAGCTGACAACAGCCAACAGCTCTTCTCCCAGCACTAGCTCCTTTAAATTGGAGAAGTTTGATGGTGTGGGCTGGGGTGTCTATCTTGCATGAGGGGAAACCCCTACCTGTGAGACTGCTCCCAGGAAGGAACAGTGATAAGCCTGGTAATGATGTATGAGAAAAGAAAGGTAAGAGACTGGCATCCAACTGAAGTTGTAGGTTCTTCAGGTAAAGATGATAATCTCATATCAACATTCATGTCTAGGAGCTACACTTGTCCTGAATGGGTGAGGGACAAAAGGTGATGTGCATGAATGCAGCTGCCTGGCAGTTCACTGTGTTTAAGATGGTGAGCTAGTTACACTATCTATGCTTCACTTAACTCATTGTAGTAGAAAAGCCATTTGCAACTCCTCCTGAGTTGTAACTTGTACCTACTATGGTGCTAGTGCAAAGCCTCTCAATATCTAAATATATTTATGAATGCATAATATGTGCAGGAATTATAGCAAATAATAATGCATTAATATGATTTCACAGTACACAGTCCCTTATTTAGATGGCTCAACT